CGAAACCCCAGGCTCGCTGGGAGGAGCACCAAGAGCACCCGCCGGCGTGCGACCCGGCAGTGCAGAAGCTGGGGGTGTGGCCGGCCTCGCAGCGGCAGCAGGACGAGGAACAGCGCCAGAATCGACATCTCCCTTCGTGTCCAACTCCAATGGAGCGAATCGCCAGTTGGCGGAAATGGCCATGGAAGCGGCAGGCCTGGTCTTCGATTTGCTTCAGAATGTTGCTTCTATTGTTTCTGACAGCAACGACAACGACGACAACAACGACGACGATGAAAACAACAACACAAAGTGGCGCCCATCGACAACAACAAGCCTCCCCCCCGGCATCAAACCAACCCAAGTAGCGAGCACAAGCGACGGCGCCTCCAACGTCACAGCCAACTACATCCTCTCGCAAAACAACGAAACCTACACCTTCTTCTCCGACCCCCGCCTAATGAGCCTAAACGTCGTGACAGAAATGTCCAACTCGTCCTTCCCGCGCCTCAAATCCGAGCAAGACCTCTTCACCCCGGCCGAGTACAGGATGTTCCTGGAAGATCCGATCTGCTTCTACGCCAACATCGAGAGCATGTACCTGGACGCCTTCTCGTCCTCTTCTTCTTCTTCTGGCAGCAGCACGGAAGAAGAAGACGCGACAACCCAGTCCCTGCAAGACCGCCAACTTCACGTCGACTCCTCCTCCTCCTCCTCCTCCTCCTCCGACCCCGACTCCGACACGCCCTCACAGCCCCCCGCCAAATCCGCATCCATAGCCTCGCTCTGGGCAACCGAGCTCCCCGACCAGCTCTGGAGCGCGCACTTCGCGACACCCGCCTCCTCAAGCAGCGACGAAGTGACCGCCACGGCTACGTCGACGACGAGCTGTTCGGGGCTGAACGGCGGGCAAGGGCCCGTCACGCAGTACAGGGAGTTGAAGATGCGGGAGACGTCGTCTTCTTCGGGGAGCGATAGCACGGCGACGCTGGCGGCGAATGAAGTCGAGAGTGGCGCTGCGAGGACGCGGTTCGCCTGCGTGCTGACGGGAGTTGTGGTGGTAGCAGTAGGATTTTCAGGCTTGTAGGAAGCGCGCGAGCTTCCAGCGCCCACTTTAATGTATATACGATACACATACACACACACACACACACACACATGTTTCAAACGATCAAACTTCGCTCTTCTTGGGCCCGCGTTTAAGTCTTGCTTTCCTCGTAGCCTCCTCGATCTTCTCTGCCCGCCAAGTGCAACCCTCCGCAAAATCGCATATTCGGCATTTAGATGCGTCCTCGATGTCGACGCCTCTAGTCGCCCTCTCGCCTCGCCACCAGCTGATCTCGTCGTTGACGTAAGAGTCCAACACCGCGTCGTCGTGCACGAAAGGCTTCTTGCCCAGCAGATCGCCCGAGCTTCCGCTGCGGTACTCTGCGACCAAGAGCTTCGAGATGGAAGACCGGACATTCAGTGAGGGGGGGACTGGCATGGGGACTGTGCGCGCGAATTCGGCCATCATGAACGACCACAGGCTGGGAAGCGAGTTGTGGGCCAACAGTTCCGAGAGGGAGTCCTGGCTGCTTTCGAGCAGGACTTGGCCTTCCTCGGAGTTGGAGACGTTGTCGGGGAAGTTGAAATCTAGTTGGCTGACTTCGACGAGGAGACCGTCAACGAGCTGCTGTCGCAAGCCGAACCGGAACACCCAGGCCAACCGAGAGCTCTCCTGGACAAGGACTTCGAACAAGATCCCGTCTTGCAGGATGCGCCTCCTGCATTGCAGCGTACGGTCTTGCATGATCGGCCGGTCGAGCAGAGCACAAGCAACCCTACCACGCCTCCTCCCAGCGACTTGCGTCGAGGGCCGCAGATTGAAATCGAATACTCCGAAGTTAATCGCTCGGCATTCTCCCGTACGTAGATTGGAAGGCCACTCTCCCTACTATAGCTGACGCGGCTGACACGCAGCGCCTTGTAGCAGAGCCAACTACACCGAAAACTGCGACTGGCGAGAAGCGTGATGATGCTGCTGCCGCCGCCGCTGCAGCGCCCGAGCAACCTGGCGACGATCCACGGGCACCTCTCGAGCGCTTTCGCCAGAGGAAACCGCTCAGTGTGACGGATTTGGTCTCGCCTGCGTGGTGCGAGCAGCAGTACTGGTACAGTCTGACGCGGTTCGGACGGGTGAGGAGGACTAAAGCGATGAAGCAGGGGAGCTCGGTGCACAAAGTGCTCGAGGAGCAAGTCCACAAGGAGGTCACGATTGACGTACAGACAAGAGAGGATATGTTCGGCCTGAGGATCTGGAATGTCATTCAAGGGCTAAGGACGTTGAGAGCGACGGGCATGACGAGGGAGATGGAAGTCTGGGGAGTGGTGAATGGAGAAGTGGTGAACGGAATCATCGACGAGATCAACACTGTCTGCCCCGACGAAGAGGCCGAGGAAGCAATGTTGGAGAAGGAAGAAGAGAGGAAGACCGGCGCGAAAAAGAGCAAGCCACTGGAAGCAGGGCAGAAGACTCTCAATGGCTTCCTTTCCGGCTCGCAGAACGATCAGATCCTGGAGGAACACTTCAGAAGCACGCCCTCTTCGAGCCACTACGAGGCTCCTCGCACCTTCTACCTTTCAGACATCAAGACCCGCCAGTCCAAGTCTTTGCCACCAGACGGCAGCCCATCCAAGCCCGTGTACATGCAGCTCATGCTCTACCGCCGCCTCTTCGCCTCGCTCGCCGCAAACGAAACCCCAGGCTCGCTGGGAGGAGCACCAAGAGCACCCGCCGGCGTGCGACCCGGCAGTGCAGAAGCTGGGGGTG